TGATTTACATACAGGTTAATATAGCTATAATTAGAGATCTGCAAAGTTAGGCCCGGCCCGTACCCGGCCGGGCTCGGGCCTAAATCTATTTAAAATAATTGGGTTCGGGTCGGGCCTAATATTTTTTTAAAAAATTCGGGCAGGGTCGGGCCGGACTTTAGAAATTTTTTTAAATATATCTAAATTTATCAATTTTATATTGAATATTTTATGTAAAATAAAAATATTTGATTTTATTTATCGAAATTAAACGACATATAACATATGTCTTTTATTTTGAGTAATTAAAAAAATTAATTTCTATATTTAAATAAATTCTGGCCGAGTCGGGTCGGTAAATTTTTTAAAAAAAATTTTAGGGTTCGGGCCGGCAGAACTTTTTAAAAAAATTCGGGTTCGGGCCGGGCCGGCAAAGATTTTTTTAAAGAATTTCGGGCCGGGCCGGGCTTGTAAAATTAGGCCCGATGCAGATCACTAGCTATAATATTTTTTAACCGTTTTATATTCGCTCTTAATATTTTGAATTTTCCAATATTTTATTATTTATTGTTCGAAATTATAATATTTTCAAATATGATTGGTTCTAATAAATTTTATATGATTAGTTCTTCTAATAAATCTTTAATGCTCCAAAAAAAATCCCCCCCCCCTTCCCTTAAGAAATTCCTGGCTAAGCGCCTGTTTTGAACTTAAAGAAAAATAAATTCAACTTTTGTAACTTACGAATTTTTTTATAAAAACAAATTCCGTACTTTTTACTACTTATAATATTTGTATATAAACATTTTTTTAAAAAACTATTGTTTTAATTTCTTGATGGCTATAATTTTCAAAGGACAACAAATTTATAAGGAATTTTCATCAATTTTAAAAGGAAAGCCTTTTTAAAAAACATAAGGTATGAATGACATTATTCTGAAAGTAGGGGTATTTAAATATTGGATAGGTCCGATAAGATAATTTATTTTTTAAATTAGACATCGGCCGATAGTTTCAAATTTGCCGATCCTACATCATAGCATTATGAATTTTTTTTAAAAATTATAATATTCAATATTCATTCTAATTAGTTATTTTTAGAAATTGATGTTTGTAAATTATTTGTCAAATAAAGGTAATATGCATTAGTTAGAGCCCTAAACTGACCTGTCTAATTAATACGAACTTGGATCGATTGGATAAAAATTCTCTCGGATTCAGTAGAGAACTTTATACGGGGCCGGATGGTATTTAGATTTCGTAAAGATTTTTCCCCCTAACCCTGCATTCACAGTTAGCAGAAATTCGCGTCGAAGTATACAAAATATGTTGTATTTATCTGTATTTTTGTATACCTAGCCGCGAATTCGCTTGAATGCAGGGCATAATTTTTTTAAGAACAAAAATTTTTATATACCTCTAGTGCCGTTGCTTATAATTTTTGGGCTTTCCTCAAAAAATAGTATATTTTTTGTTTCGAATAGGATCAGAGAGCCATTTTAAAAAATAGGGTTTCAGATCGTATTCGAAAATAGTCGGATAAGTCGAACAATATTTTTTGAAAATCTTTTCTTAGAACGAGTTGGACACGAAAAAATAGATCGTATGCAATGATAATAAGTATTAATCGACATAAATAATGTATTATATAAATAATTATATTAAATGGCAAAAACGAGGCTTATTTTGCTTTGATTTTAAATTATATGCAAATTTTTTCCCATTTTATTATAGAAAATGTGTAAAAGGAGGCTGAATCCAAAATTTGACAAAATCATGGATTTAACAAATTTAACTAAAAATTTTCTAGATTTTCAAATTTTTTTTTTTACTTTCCGATAGAAAAAAAATTTCTTTATTTTCATCAAAGTTTAAAAAAAAATTTTTCTAAGTTTAAAAATTATTCGCAATCAAATATAGGTATTATTATATAATTTTTATACAGATTGTAAGAAAGATTTTTTTTAAAAAAACAAAAAATATTGTTTTTTTTTACCTGAATCTCAATTTATTATTTAAACTATCTCATTTTATGATTTTAATGCTAAAATAAGCACGATTGTCAAAGGTCATAAAAAATAAAGTCAGGGATGACAAATCAGCATTCCATTAATCGATATGGTTCCTTCTACTTGGTTTGATGGCGACTTCAAAAAACATTATATTTTATTAAAAAAACTATATTTTATTGAGTCTGGAACCTGAATTTAAAAAGGGTTTCAGGTTTTGGTTCATATAAACTTAAGGAGACTTTGACTGATTTTATTATATAAAAACATATTGTAAATTCAATTTTTAAAAAAATGTTGCCCTCGAAGATAATATTTTGATATTAACTAACCAAAAGTGGAGTTAGGAGATTTGTGCAGGAATATAGAACAGGTATAATATTATTAATATTGTTACATGATAAAACCTTGGCATATAAATTTTAAATTATTTAATAAATTTTAATCAACTTAATCCCAATATTAAAAAAAATTATGTCATAAATTGTTTTATCGTAAATTAACATAAAAATAACATTAAAAAAATAGATTCCTTAATTCACCCAAAATCTTCAAATTTTTAAATGAAAGAAATGCATATTAAAATAACGTTCAAACTATGATGTAGTACCAGATGTCCTGTAGAGCCAGCCCGCCCCCGGCGGTCATCATCAATAAAATATAGGCCAAGTTTGTGTATCATAATTATAAAATGAATTTTAAAAAAACATGAGGTGAAAAATTTTTACAATTCATTTTTAGATAATATTTTGTTATAAATAGATAAATATCATTAAATTATCTAAATTATTGCCGAATATTTAAATTTAATACACAACATTAATAGAATCTAAAATACTTTTGAGATTACATCCGTACAAGATATTACAATTTAAGCTGTGGGGCGCAAAAGATCATGGGTCTAGATCTAAAAAAACCAATGGAGTGTGGGTGGCGAGCCGAAAAATATTAATTTTGCAGGTCTCGTAATTAGGACTCTGAGCTGCCGGCGCGATTGAGATGAGCGGCAGTGCCAGGGTCACCGCCGATTTTTTTATGCCGGTGGCGTGGGGTATAAAATTTTTAGAATTATATATTTAGTCTTCATCTATTTTAACCTGGCAACTAGAAATGTGACGCAAAAGCAAACTGGTGAAACCATATTATCTGATATCGATAGTATAGAAGAGGAATTCTACTTAAAAAACAAAATAATACAGATAGTAACTGATGCTGGGGCAAATGTATAAAGAAGCGTCTGATTGGGGGACCATGAGCAACATTTATGCTTATGGCATGGTCTTCATAATTTAATTACAGTTGATGGCATAAAAAGAAGTTGCAAGAATACTCTGATTAAAAAAAATTAGAGAAGTCATTTCAGCCCTCGGGTATCGAGTATTTGATTTGGAATGTGAAATTTAGGTTAAGCATCGTAAATGCCTGCAATCAATTTATGTGACAGGCCATATTTTGGATATTTTTGATATCTCTGGTGAGGCTGATAATATAAATTGCATTGCACCAACAGATCTAATTAATACGACGAAAACCTTAAAATTAAATTGTCCTACCTAGAAGAGCATATTAATTATGTAGAAAGTATCCGTATGGAAAACAATTTTCAAAACTTTCAATAAGAAATGGGATCTAGTTGGCGAACTTTACATATTATTAAATCCACTCAGAGAGTCTGAGGAATTTCTTTCCTCCCAAAGGGAAAATAAATTAGGATTATCCTTTCGCAGTGAAATAGAAACACATATACAAATCAATAACTCTGATTGCTCATATATAATTTGTCTAAAAGAAAATATGCAAAAATACTTGTCCATAGGTTTCCAATTACCGAACTTCAAATAATTTGATTAATTTTAAACATTCGATAGCGACACTACTTGATCCGAGATTTCAAAATCTTAAAATTGTTTCAATAAATTCGAATTCTACGACATCATTTTTAATTAGACATTTAAAACTTTTAGAGAGCGATAGAAATGCACAGAGTGAGATTCAAGTTGAAGATAATGGGCAAATATGGAGTTAATAGATAGCTAAAATAGCTCATATAAACATTCCCTTCCAAGCAACGATTAGAATAACATTAGCAATCCAGAGCAAGAATGCCATATTTTAATCAGGTAACATAGTATATCAGAAGAATGCACAACATTTTGGGAAAAAAGCGACTGCAACTTCCTAGTCTTGCTAATTTAGCTAGGAGGGTTTTTTGTATACATGCAACTAGTACACCCTGCAAAAGATTTTTTTTCATCCCTGGATTAATACTCAATGCAAAAATGAGTTCTTTATGTCCAACGAATCTTAATAAAATACTATTTATTCATGACAATTATAATTTTACAAAATCTGATTTCTTATTTATTATGTTTCTTGCTTTATATTTTATTTGCATTCCAAATTTGTATAATTTGTTTTAATAAAAATAAACCTAATATTACTCATTTGTATTGTATGACTCTGACCTGAGTAAAAATGAAATTCCTTAGTCTATTTCTGAGAAAGAGAAAATACATAAATTTAGGACAGGAAATAATTTGAGAACTGAAACAATATTAACAATGTTGGAACTAATAACACAGCTAATTTATAAAAAAAATGTAATACATTAATCATAAATTTAATTAATTTTAAATAAATAGCGTGCCGAATGCCGATAAATTTATTTTTAAAAACCGCCGCTGTCAATTGAGACTTCGGTGTATAGGTGAACTCGTAATTACCTTTTAATATCGGATGGGATAAACCAGATTTTTTTTAAAATATCGGGTATAAGTAGATATTTTAAATTGACCAGATATTATCAAAACGATTGTTAAAAAAATTATTTAAAATCTATTCTATAATATCTTTTTGGTTTAATCTCATTCCTTCTATCTATGCATATTTCACATGTTAAGTCTAAAATTATTAAGATCGGTTAATAAAGGTTATCTCGGTTCAGATTCTAAAAAGCTACAAATTTTAAGTTAGAATAATGAGATTAAAAATAATATGCGTGTATAATTTTACCGATGCTATATTTATTAAAGTCATTTTTGCGGATGCCCCAAGAAGTTGTGAAAGATTTTTTATGCCTAAATTTCTGGCATACCTCTAAAGATATCCTCAATGATTCATTTGCGTTGTCTAGGTCAACCTAATGGCATATCGAAAAGAATAAAATCAATTTAAAAAATAATTTATATGCATATTAAAATGATGTAATTTCATTATGAAATTATCGAATCGACATTCCATACAATTATAAATCATGGTTGTAGACCTTGAATAAAGCTGAATAAGCGGGATGATAGCGCCACATCGCTATCAAATAGATATCAGACAATGAATCAAGCATTCATTGTGATGGAGAGCGATATCTATTTTCCTATCGCCATAGTTAACTTGGATTTTTATATCTAATATTACTTACAAAGTAAAGTGCTTGCGTAAGGTAAATTTCAAATAATTCATTCCAAATGGCAACATGATTGGTAAACGGTTGCGTTAAAAAAAGGGAAATTGTTTTTTTTATATTTTTCAACTAAATTTTTAAAAATATAATTTTAATAAAAAAGCGTTTTTTTTAAACATAGCGAGCTTCTACTAAATTTGTAAGCACTAAAACTTATATTTTGAGACGATATCGCACTAACTATATGTTTAGCCTAAGTTAGGTCTCGTTTCTGGGCAATGGGCGTCCAAATCCGTAGCCAGGAATTTCCAGGGAGGGGGCAACCGTTTACAGGGGGCCAATATTTTTTGAAATAAAAAAAAAGTTAGGCACTCATACAATTTTTTTGATATTTCTATTAAAAATTTGTAAACAACGATTTTTGTAATTTTAACACAAATGAATTAAAAGCTAAATTCTGTATTATTTTGTCATTAATATTAAATTTTATTTGCATAGATTCTCTAGTGCTCGATAGAACTCTCTTTAGTGTAGAGAATGAAGCCTCACAAAAAAAGCCGTTGTTACATGATGATAGCTGCTGAGTAATTCTTTATGCAAGATTGATATTTTTTTCATAATATTTACGATATTTTCAAAATTATCTTTCTTTAACTTCTGCAGCTAATAATCCTTTAACTATTTTCATTTCATGATGTAACGTTTCCATATTTAAGTTTGATAATGATTCTAATGGGGCCATTTTATCTGATATAAAATAAAGGGGGGACGATGTATTACATAATAGACCATCTTGTGTAAATATATCTAAAAACGATCACAAAGTAATCAATAATTTTATAATAATTCTATTTTAAAGGAATCCAATTGAAATCCTTTTCACAATTGAAATGGGATTTGGTATCGGCTAAAAAACCTTAGATATTTATAAGCCTTTTACGCCCTTTGATGATTTTTGAGGACTGAGATTAAATTTTGATAAAAGTTACTCAGCCTTAATTCTAATCAAACCAAAAAAATTATCACTTCTTTTATTTTTTAATATATTAATTGTGGAATATAAATTTTTAGCACCCACTATATTAGTAACTACTGACTGTAGATACTTATTTAGTAGATATATTGTTATTAAAATTGAAATGATCAATATAATATTATTTTTATATACGCATTGAAATAAAAGACCAGAGGCTTCGACTGAATCGATTGGAAACCTCTTAAAAGTTCTATTAGAAAAGTAAAATAATACTTCACTAATAGCCTCAAAATTCCTCCAAATGATATGAGATATGACCAGTCCACCTCTGGTCTAAAACTCTCTTAAGAGTATAGCCTGTATATCAGGATAAGTTAAAATGACTGAAAAAAATTATATAATGCATTTGATATTAAAAAATTAGAACTGATAACAATATTATTATACCAATTTTCAACCACAAGATGCAACCTGTGGTTATAGCATTGTATATATGGCACTTTTTTTATTACTCCTCCAATTCGGCTAGACATGACGTTTGCACATCATATCCCTATTCGATAAATTAATAATTAATTCATTAAGTTGCTTTAAAATACAATTAGTAATGCTTCAGCAAAAAGATATTGTAAATTAATGATTCCTATCTCCACTTATAAAGAATAATCATGCTGTTTGCACAACTTGTTTATTAATTTGTATAAATTAAATAAATAATGTTTTTCTAAAAATTTTGTCGTATTTTCATTTAAATTTAATCGTTAATGGTGAATTAAAATTTAATAACTAAATAATTTTTTTTTTAAATTTCGAAACCAGAAATTTCTCGAGGGACCAGGTTTGGGGGCCAAAAAAATTTTTGGAAGGAAGGGGGGCTTGTCCCCTGTATCTAAAGCCTTATGCGCGTCGCTAAGTATTTTTTAAAAGCAAGCAAATAATAGGTAAAATTTATAATCCATAAAACGATGTATTTCATCGCATCGCGCATTCATCATAAATTTTATCTATTATTTATTGCTTTTGAAAAATACCCAGCGATGCGCGCTTACTATAAACGAGGCTTTAGAAAAAAATGTTTAAAATCTTAAAAATATTACTTATTTATAATGATATTCGTGTAAGCCATCGTCTAGTCATTATAAAAAATTATTTTAAATCTTATGATATTAAATATAGATGTATCCCGATCCCATCCAAAATTAGCTGCGACGCGTCCAATACAAGGTTAGCGTAATTGGGATGCATCTCATCTTTCAAAAAAAAAACTAAAAAGAAAGGAATATTTTTTTAAAAACTGAAATTATAAAAAAAAATTATAGTAGTTATATTTTAAAAAACTGAATTTAAAAAAAATGAAATCTATATATATGTTTTTAAAATATTTATATATTTCTTCATAATCTCTTGCGCGCTTATTAATGGACATAGGTAACAAATATAAACAGAGACAAAGAGAGGTTATTATAATATTATATATTTTGTAACTTAATGAACAAAAGAATCTCTTTTATTGCATCTTCATCAAAATCCGAAAATTCCATTTATTGACATATTCTTGACATTATATTAAAATTTAAAACAAAATAAAACTTTAATTACAACATCTCTCCCCTTTAATTAAGTCTACAAGCTCATACATATTTAAAAATGGGCCTTTTATAAATCTAATTTTAAAAAATACAAGTGTTTTGTTCACTGACTATCTATTTTTTATGAAATATAACATTGTTATTGATTAATATCTTTTTTTCCTTTGAATTTAATTGTATATATTTTTTTTAATAACTTATATTAGTATGGATATAAAACTATAAAGTATTAAAAAATTAAATTTCTATTAAAAAACATTATTGAGACGAGAAAGTTAAGACCGGACGGGCGTGACATCCAAATTGCGCCCTAGGGATGTGTCCAATCCAAGATATACCGTTTTTAGGACATAAGAGATTTTTTTATATTTCTACTTATAAAAGAGAGAATTGCAATAATAGTTCATATAAACAACTTAAAAGTTTATATCAATTAAATTTCCTTTATACAACTAATTTATATCAAACAATTTTAAAATGCAAGCTAATACTGATAATGATTTATAAATATAACCTTACTTGTTGTTTGAGTTTGAAAATTTTTTAAAATTTTTTTTAAAAAAATCGATAAAAAAAAAAGAAGTTTATAGATAATGTGGTATAATACATAAGTTGAGAATTCAAAAGAGGAAGCATAATAGATCATATATAATTGTAAAAAGGAAGAAATGAGAAAGGACTGGTTCAAAAATTATAGTTAAGCGTTACGATCACGTGATGATATTTAGATATCATATGTATTAAGTTATTCCAAAATTTCTCGTGTCCAATAAGAAAATTCCCTCGTTATGAATGTATTCTTTGTTTTTAGCATAATATGTCAAAATTTTTTACTTTATTTTAAATAAAAATTTATACTATTAATCAATCTTTCTAATTTTTTGTAGTTTGAAAATTAATTAACTCCATCCAAAATAATGTTTTATATATAAATATCTCTATTGACCGTTTGAACTATATAATATAATATAATAAAGTGTATAAATATAAATATTTCGACTTGGGGGGTAAGGGGAAGGTTAAAAAATTTTTGGGAGGGTGAAACCCTTTGTCCCTATTCAAAATATGCCGTGATTTATATAAATCAATTATTAAAATATACATTTTATTTTCATTATTTTTAACTTTTAAGAGGTTGATATTTTTTTTAATTTATTCTCTTTTGTACAAATTATTAATAGGTATGAAGATAAATATGGACTCAACTTATAACTTGCCATACCTTTAGTTACTCATTTTTCTAATAATAAAATATAATCAGAACTTCTCCAGAATGTTCCGAAAAATAATATCAAAATTTTAAATTAATATATTACATAATTATAAATATTCATTTTCTTCTTTTAATTTAAATAAAATTAGATATTTGAAGGGAGGGGGGAGAAGGCAGGAACGTCGTGGATCCATACGTAAAAGGTTTTTGAGCATAGTTGGAGATAAGCGCATGGCGCTTAAATAAAATAATACTAAAGCTATCCGATGTAGTGTTGTTAAAAACCTCTACTTAACCGAATTTTTTAAAAAAGGACTAAATCAAAAATATTGGTCTTCTAAAAATATAAGGGTAAAGTGAACTACAAAATATTTAAAGGAGCAATACAGATACAAATTATGGGATAGATAGAAATTTATTGGAACTGTGGTGTTAATACGGAGGGAGTGAGGGTCTCTTCCTTCATGAAATCTTTCACCCGCTCTGCATTTAAATATTCTTATTTAATTTGGGGGAATTTTCCAGGGTTTATTAAAAATTTTCAATCTCCCCCCCCCTTCCCCAGTTGATTTTGGCCTAATTATGGCATGGTAATTCACAATTAATTTCATTGTTGTTTATTATTAATATCTATATTCTTGAACATTTAATTTACTCAATCACATTTTTTGAGCAAATTAACATAATCACACTTTTTCTCACGTTTTTAAATTTTTTCAAAATATTTTTAAAAACAAATATAAAGTTTTAAAAATTTTTTTTGGATAATTTTTAAATTATTCAAAAAAACTTACAATAAGATAAAATTTTGATTATAAATATTAAGTAAAAATATATTTAAAATAAAGAAAAAGGACCAAAGTCCCGCAAATTAGGGGGTATGGGAACGAAACCCTCAAAAAATTATTATAAAAGAAATACTCAAGTTTTAGAGTGAAAAATATCTGGAAACCCTGGATGTAACCAATCCTGGCGGAACAGTTCTGTTAAAATAGCCTCAAATAACGCATTTATAAATGAAAAAATAACTTTCTTGTTAAAATTCCAGACGATCCGCTTGCAGGCCATACAGATTAAATTTATCTGTGGGTATGCGGAGGGGGGGGGGTAATTTTATAAACAATACCGAATTCGATACAATTCAACTTTTTAGGGACTTGAACAGACGAGATATTTTAACGAAAATGGAAAATTTTAAGCACTGAAGGATAATAATAGTGTTATAATTGAAAATAATATTCATAAAATAAAACCAGCAAAGAAACAAAAAATAAGATCTACGACTGGTTCAATAAATTTTAAAATAAAGGTCGAAATTTGATTGAGCGAAAGAATATCTATCCAAGTCTGACTACTCAAAGTTTGATGAGATCGGGTGTAGTTTAGTCCATGTATGGCTCTAATTATTTAGTCATAAAGTTATCCATTATATAATAATAAATAATCCCTAGATTAATAATAAAGCAGTCATTAAAATATTAAATCCTGTCTTTTACAATTTCTAGATTTTCATAGTTACAAGTTTCCCCCACATTATTTATTAATTTATTTTCCAAAATTTTTATATTTACTTTAATTTAATTTATTTTGTCACTCCATGCTATCGTTGCCAAAAGTAAGAATTCGAAAATATCTTTTTAGCAACTTGTTATATTTTTTATTAAATTAACTAATTATATTCGTGCTCCATATAAATTATGGACCTACGAAATCGAAGTTTTTTGGTGAGAGCCTACCGACAGGATGGCAACAAAGTATTTTTTAGATCAAGGCCAGCCCGTGGTGGTCAGAATTTTTTTAAAAGCTTATAGGAAAGAATTCTCAAATTGGAAATATTTATTATTTACTATTCATTTTCATATCATATTATTTGGTATTAAATAGAATAAAATTGATAAGTATCATTAAATTGTCAAAGTTATTGGAATATTTAAATTTTAATGCATAACATTGAAATATTTTCCACCTGATTTTTTAAAAATTTTTCTTATTTTTTAAATTCATTTTCAAAAAAAAAGAAGAATAGGAAGGAAATATAACAAAAATATTATTTTGGGCCACTGGCAGGGTTCATATTAATGTTATCACTGGTCAATGAGCTGGACTGATGGGTTGGCCTTATAGGACTTTAATATATATTTTATATATATATAATAATGAATACTAATTTACTATACTGTCAAGTCTTATTTATATTTATTTGAAGAAGAATAATTAAAGACCTGCAAGCCTGAAACAAATAATGAATAGAAATGTCCTGGATAAACATAACCCAAACCAAAATACACTGAATAAATGTTCCTTTTTTTAGCATTTGAACAAATTTCAAATTGAGGTATTTTAGTATAATGTTTTTTTTTGTCTGTGGGTTTTTTTGTCCTATGTCTCATAGTACGGAATGTAGGTGGTTTGCCTCTAACATAGTACAATTTTAAAAATTCAATCTGGGTCATGCCTAAATACAATCACAAATCCCAAAAAAAGTTAGGCCTAAAATGGCCAATTTTTTTTAAAAAAATATAAATTATATCAATTAATAAGTCTGATAATATAATGTATCATTTACATTCATAGAGCTCATACTTTCAATCTCCTTTTGAAACAATTTTCAAAATAGAGACAAAATTATAGTGACAAAATTTTTAAAATCTAGACTGGGCAAAATGTGTTTTAAAAGCCCAAACCAGAAAAATATTTCAAAAAGCAGGGCTGGCTCAGGGTGGAAAATATAAATTTTAAAATCCTTGCTATTGAGCATTCTATTATTAAATTATTTTTAAGCTATGGTAAAGAATCAACCAGGTTTTTTAAAAAATTGGATCCAGCTTGTTAATTATAATTTAAACAATTATAAATATTGTATTTTTATTGGAAAATTGGGGTAATATAAGTAAATGTTATGTGAATAAGCTTTCTAAATTATAAAAAGGTTTATTATTACCCATAACTATAGATGGAAAACAACTAATATTAACCAACTAGCAAAACTGAGCCCAAACAATAAATTTAAGTATTGTTGAAGTTATAAAAATAACTGTCTAATAGCCAGATTAATTTTAAATAGAATATCCCTAATGACTACTAAAAAATGAAAACAAAGAGATTTATTTTATATAAAATAAAAGTGATTAAGTAATGGCTTATAGATTTTTAAATAAAAAAAAACTATTAGCCAAAGCTATTTAAATTGACTATGGCTATTAATCACAGTATTGTCACTAGGATGAGGGGGGGGGGGGTGGTGAGCTCACATTAAAAGAGCTTAAAAATGTCATTTTGAAACTGTTAGCTTAAAAAATTCAGAAATGCAAAAAAAAATAGTTTTGGAGTCCCCTGAGATAAGGCTAGTGGAACCACTTCTTAATTATAGTCATTTTTTATTATGGTTTATCTTATACATATTTTTATTGGCTATAACTAAGTCATTCCTAATCTTTATTAATAACTAATAAAATTAAGTCAAAAGTTAGTATGTAAAAATGATTAATTACAGTGTCAAATGTCATAAATGCTTGAAGATATAATAATGTGCTATAGCCTAAGGAATGGTAGATACTGTTAAGAATGCTAATATATTATATAATATTATTAGTTGATTGATAAGTACTGTGGTTTCAAAATTTGCTTTGCAAGATTGTATTTATTATTAAGAAATAGTTGAAGTGCCAAACATGTTTCATATATTGATTCTTGTAAAGACATATGATAACTATATAATTTTTTAGATTAAAAAATAATAAATGAAAAACTTTGTAAATATTTCAGAGGCATCATAAAATTCCTACAAAAAATTATTATACAAGTATGTTACTTATATATAACCTCTTCGGTAACAGATTCATTCATTGAAAGTTAATTGGAAGACTTAAAAACTAAATGTAGTTTCATATCAAATTATAAAGAAATCCCTACATTAAAAACATATGTTTCTAAAAATTTGTAGCTGACTATAAAAAATAGGTCGATTGATCATGTCAGTAATCATATCAATAATCATGTCTTAATGTCAGTTATTTTCATATGATTTTTTAAAAAGTGTATTTATAAATTACCTAGCATTGTTTATTAGCAGGCGCGAACGCAGGGGGAAGGGGAAGGGGGATAAATCCCCCCTCCCCAAAGCCAAAAAATTCAGATGCTATATTTTTCAAAAATATTATTTTTTATATTTGTCAATATTTACTATATTTAATTACATTTATTATCACATTTATCTACTAAGTTATTTTATCAATCAATTTTGATTACAAGTTTTCCAGCGTAATATTTACTGATTATTTTCAAATTTTTAGTGGCGTAATATTTATCTACCTTTTTCAATTTCTAGTCAAATAATAATTATTTCTGAAACTTCTTATCCAACAGGGAGAAAAAAATTGCAACCTTCTCCAACGAGATAAAGTCTCCGCCATAAAGCAGTAACAGTTTTATGGAGTTAGAAGAACCAATTATTTGCTATTATTGAAATATCACAATGGCCTGAAAGAAATTCCTCAGAAGCAAAATAATTATTCGATTAAATGCTTATTCCAAAATTTTTTCTCATTAGAATGTATTATTTAATTATACAACTAATTTATGTATTTTTCAAAAACATGACATTGACTTGATTAAGAAGATGAGTATAGCGGAGAGCATTTATTAGAACTCAAGGAAATGAGGGCTATGTTGATGAAGAATTTCATATTTTATGTTATTGTTGAGTAAAAAGCAAAGTTATACGTGTTTAATATTTGTCTCCCTCCACTTGCAATAAGGCAAGCTTTTCAAAACATTAATATAGGATCAGTAGAAGAGTATATCTTAAATACAGATACATTTATAACCCAAATAAATGAATGGTTTTTAATTCATCATGCAGCACTTGCCATATGCAAATATTACCTCCACAAAAGCCTATCCAATCTTTTTCAGATGGTGATAGAAAAAAAATTTTGTTAGATTTTTATAGTGAAGATGTTAAAGTATCTTATGATGCCCTATTAGCTGAATAACTATGTTTATAAGATTAACTATGGTTGATATAGTCCCAAAAAATGCTATGGATGCTCTGCATTATTTCAAACACCTTCTCGATTATATTCCCAATGTATTAAAAGGGTTTATATATTAGCAACTCCTCCCATTAGTAAACTGTAGCGTGATTCATTAACTCCCCTTATTACATACCTCTAAGTTAAGAAATCACTATGATAGATTAACTCCCCCTTTGATGAATAGTGTTAAGGAGGGAGTTGATTAATAACTAAGATCTTAGTTACAATGTAAATTGATAGGGAGAGTTATATGATCATGCAGTTTTTTTTAATATTACTGAAATTCTTGTAAATTTAATTTTTGATATTTAATATGATTTTCAAATTTAAATTTTGAATCGAATTTTAATTTTATTTATCTAATTTGTGAAAACATACATCCTAATTCAAAAAGTAACAAATTTTATTATTTTAATATAAAAATATTAAATAGTGAATCTCAATGTTATCAATGATATTTATAATTACCTTAAATGCAAAACCTACCCAACCTCCTATATCGGCGATCATGGGTTAAAAAGAAACCTTAGAGTCAAATGTTCCAAGTTTTTCTTAGAGAATGATAAATTATACCATTACCTACATAATGCTGAAGTTATCTCACTCTTTAGCCAACAACAAAAACTTTTAGTCTCATTCCATGGAGGATGTGATGTGAGACAAATCCAGCGTCTACATGACAGAATTTTAACTGGATGCAAACTCCCTTCAAAAACAGTTGCCCACCCCCCTAAAAAATTTCCCATCTGCCAAATATTAATATTTTGTAAATATAAAGGATTTATTTTGTAAATACAAAGGATTTATTTTGTAAATACAAAGGATTTATTTTGTAAATACAAAGGATTTATTTTGTAAATATAAAGGATTTATTTTTTAGATAAATTCAATTAAAACCTCGATTATTTACAATGAATTCATTATTATAGCATTATGAGCTTGATAAAATATCTAAACCTTTTAAATTACATTTAAAAGGATAGTTGAATTTGGGAAACAATGTATAAGATTGTTTGCAATTAATAGATTTGGTCGATGAATTGTATTATAATAGTTCTATAATAAAAGTATTACTTTCCTATTTCATCTCAAATTTAATAGATAGCTCCCAAAAAAATTTATCCTACCCCCATTAAAGCCAACTACCCTCTACTCTCCTCAAAAAAATAGGATGCAAACTGTTCCTACCCCTCCCGCTCATGTAGACGCTGGACAAATCTCACAGAAATGTCATTATCAGGTCACTTTGGAATCAACAAGACATAAGATAAACTAGTTGAAAGGTATATTTATATTATTTATAACATAATTTTATAAGCTGGTTTTTTTGGTTTAAGTATTGTTTCTAAACATTTATGAATATTACTGATAAATTCCACAATTTATAAGCTAGGATACAGTACTCAATATAAAAATCTCTTTCAATTAATAGAATATTGTTTTAAAATATTGTTTAAATTTAGCCTGATATCACCCAAAAAGCTTGCAACACTTCTAAAATGTACTTTAAAAACATAATCAGGAAGTAAATATTGCCCAGTTTTAACCTGATACAAGCCAAAAAGCTTGCACCACTTTTAGAAAGAATTTATAACTTTAAAAACTTATACATCAAGCAGTACCAATATACTCATCTCTTTCAATTGATAGGAAAATATTTTTAAATTAAATTTTAACAAATTTTTTCTAACATGCTTAAAACTTTAAAAAACAATAGCATTTCAATTATGTCTATCACAAACTCGTGGGAACCCAGCAGAGAGTGACAAGTGCCTACCATCCTCAGGCTAATGGCATGGTAGAGAGAGCCAATTGTACTCTTCAAAATTCCCTTTTGAAGTGTACAAAAGGGAATCAGAAAGATTGGCCTGGTTCTCCCTGGTATTGTATTTGCCTACAATACATCAAGGCACGAATCCTCAAAATTTACGCCATATGAGATGATGTATGGCAGGAAAGCTTTACTGCCCTGTGGGATATGATATATATATCATTATTTGTATAAAATTATTATACATAATAAATATTTATTATTTAAGGATGATAGAGAACCTGAAACAGATCTGCAATTTCCAAAGAAGGGCAGACAATATGTAAGGCATATTCAAGACTGCAGCAAAAAATATTATAAAGGCTCAGCTTAAGCATCAACGAGATTATAAAACTCGTAATGCTGCTAAGAATGCACTTTATCACATAAATGATAAAGTGCTTATGTGGAATTATCTTCGGGCTGACAGGAAAGGAGGGAAAATGTTGCAGCCTTGGGTAGGTCCTTATACAATTGTTAAAATTGTTAATAGTAAATTTATTATTTTTTAACAAAATATTTATACATATTTAGGCAATGTAGAATTATCCTCTTCAACAGGAAAAATTTTACATATTAAGACTAATATAAGTAATTTAAAGCACTATATAAAGGGGAACAAAGGTAATTTTTTAAAAATATATGAATATAACTTTTTTTAATAAAGAAAATATTTATTTATTTTTATGCAATGTAAATAACAATCATTTTGTTAGAATTATATCAATGTGATCTATTCTAATATTTTTCTTCCATTATATTTATTGCAATTTAGTTGAAAGATGATAATCGGTAAGTATCTTTTTGTTAAATGTTATTGTACTCTATATTTTTATTAATAGTTACTTGACATCCTTTTTATAAGTTGAATTCTATTCAGCAAATTTAAATTATATTTATTGCAATTTAGTTGAAAGATGATAATCGGTAAGCATCTTTTTGTTAAATGTTATTGTAGTTTATATTTTTATTAATAGTTATTTTTATAAAAAAGTACAATAGTTTAGGTCCGTGAAGTTGGCCCTACACTTTTTGATTTTCAATGGTTTATCAGTTTGACTGATTTGAAACCGATTTGTACCATTTTCAGTTCAATTTGTACCATCACCGTTTTTGAGATATTCAAAGAACAAAATGGGGGGGGGGGCAACTTCACGAGAGCCTTGCAAATTTTGAACTTAAAAATAAAAGTGCATATGTCGATAGCGAATGATTTGTACGGCTTTCAGTTTGATTTGTACTATTACCGTTTTCCAGCTATTGACCGTTAAAAATATGGCGCCAAAAATAAAAAACATTCAAAATTTATTTATTTTTAATTAACGTACAACGATAGAGAATTTTTTTCTCTCGATGATGCCTCAAATTAAGCTTTATCTTTATTATTTATTTCGGAAATCAAATTTTAAACCTTATATCATCGCGTGAAGTTAGCCCCCCCCCCCCCCCCCCAGATATTCAAAATTTGAGATTTTTCAAATTTTTAAAACGGGATTGATTTGTACCGTTTCAAACTCGATTTGTACTATTACCGTTTTCCAGCTATTGACCGTTAAAAATATGGCGTCTAAAATAAAAAACACTCAAATTTTTATTTTTTAGATTTTTTAACGTACAACGATAGAGAATTTTTTTCTCTTCATGCCTCAATACTCGATTTGTACCGTTTCAAACTCGATTTGTTTCCAGCTATTGACCGTTAAAAATATGGCGCCAAAAATAAAAACACTCAAAAAAATTTTTTTAAAAAATAATTTTTAACTTACAACGATAGCGAATATTTTTCTTCTTTATAATGATGCCTCAAATTAAGCTTTATCTTCATTATTTATTTCGGAAATCAAACTTTAAACTTCATATCATAGCGTGAAGTTAGCCCCCCCCCTCCTCCGATATACAAAATTTGAGATTTTCCAAATTTTTAAAACGGGATTGATTTGTACCGTTTCAAACTCGATTTGTACCATTACCGTTTTCCAGCTATTGACCGTTAAAAATATGACACCAAAAATAAAAAACACTCAAAATTTAAAAAAAATTTTTTTTTTAACTTACAACGATAGAGATTTTTTTTCTCTCCCTAATG